TATTTTCAAAATGTAGCCAGGCACATAAAAAAAAAAAATTTAAAAAATCTACGCTGTCTACATGTCAAAGTGGTACCTGCACCTTCGTTTACTTTTTCTTTTTAAACTTGCTCAGTTGGCAAATACCCCATGGTATATGTTTTACTAATGAATTGGCAGTATGAAATAAACATCAATCATTTGTGTTATGATGTTTGCCTCTTTTGCAAAGTGGAAGAGGAGTGTAACCTCCTATATTGTTACTATTTAAATCTATAAAAATTTCTCCAAAATCATATTTTTGCCATATTGGAGTTATTCAGAGTCCATCTGGACACAGTCCTGGGCCGCTGGCTATAGGTTTTCTGGGTTGGCAGGGAGTCATACTCTGATCTCCAGAGATCCCTTCCCACCTCAGCCATTCTGTGATCCTCCAGTGCTTGACCCGAGGGAAGAAAACTCAATACTGCTGACTCTTCTGCTCCTTAATTAATTACTTGTGCAACCACTGAAGATGTTGTCTTTTTGCAGGTGCTTTCTCTGAACAAAGCTGAGGATGCTCACAATGGGTATCAATCCCTTCTCTCTGAAATTAACGATCCAAACACCAAATACATCCTGAGAACTGCAAACCGGCTTTATGGGGAAAAGACGTTTGAGTTTCTCTCAGTAAGTAACCATGAAATGTGTGGCGTTTCTTAGTATAATGTACTTGCTACGTGTTTGGTTTGGAGGTCAAAGGCAGGCTTTGGGCTCTGCTTTCCAAATTTTCTGAGCTGAGGACTAGCAATGCAGTAGATGATGCCAGCGCCTGGTATCTGAATTTGGTGGAGAATTTCTTTTCAGATACCCTGAATGTTGCAAAATAGGGTAAAATCCATCAGTCTCTCCACTGTGTGAGTTTTGTGATCCATTTATATTTTTGACTGTGGGACAAAAGGATGATGTATCTCTTAGCAGAAGTCTTACAAACAAATCATATTTTATCTCACTGAAGCATAAAGTAAAACCAACAAAAAACAGCAGCCACTTAATTTGTCAGTGAATTTACATAGAGGTTTGTAGTACAGTAAATAAACCATTTGACTTAAAACCATACAGGGGACGATTCCTAGTTCAAATAGTTTGTATAAACCTTATAAATGTCAGCCAGAACTTTAAGTGTTCTATGTGAAGCTGGGGGAGGAAAGTAGGCAGATTTTCTTGGTGTGTTTAAGAATCCTGCATGTCTGAATGAGAGTCAAATCTCTTGCTGGAAATCTGTTGGGCATGTCCCTGTTAGTCATTTCTAGAGTCGAGTCAGAAATCCTACCACGCTGGACTGGAACCGACTGACTTCATGAACGCTTGGGAGGATTCCAGAAAACGAATCAATGGCTGGGTAGAGGAAAGGACTGAAGGTGAGTGCTTTGCAAAGGGCCCTGTTGTATTTCCTGGTGGCCATGGCTTGGGTAAAGAGCTATTTCAGGATATGAGGTTGTGAATTAAAACAACCCAACTGTTGAGCTCCTGCTCTGTGTGGTACCTAATTCTCTTCTCTCTTGTGTCTTAATTGCAGAGTCGATAGTCTACTGGATAATAATTAGATATGTGTCCAACTCTGAAATGTTGTTTGTTTGTATCATAAAGGTAAAATTCAGAACCTGTTGGCGGAGGGGGTTCTTGATTCCCTGACCAGACTTGTGTTGGTGAATGCCATCTATTTCAAAGGCAACTGGGAAAAGCAGTTCAACAAAGAGAGAACGGCAGAAAGGCCATTTCAGATTAACAAGGTATGATGTGCTGAAATGATGGGAATATGCTGTTAATCTGAAATGAACCCATAGCATTCTGAAGAAAAAACATTCAAGCAGGGTGACCTTGGTTAGGCTGTATGAACTTCCTTATGCCCCCTCCCTTTCCTATGGATGCTGTCTTTGTTGAGTTTCTGTAAAGTTTCACGTAATTACTAGAAAGTTTAATCTAACAAGTATTTCTTTCATTCTCTCTCTCCTTTTTTCCTTTAACCCTTCTTTGTTTGAGAAAGTTATCCCTCTACATAATGACAGGACTTAGAACTGATGAGGAGAGAACACTTGAGCAATGTTGTCAGGTTATTTCAGTGTCATGAACAATTTCACAGAATTAGTGAACTTGCTTATTTCAGCCTAAAACTGGAGTTGATCAGAAAAATATTTTTTCTTTAAGTTTTAGGCAGAAAAGAGCACTTATACTCCTCCAGAAATTTGTATATCTAAGTCTTCTTCACTCAGTGGTTTTTTGCTGCATTTCTATCAGTGAAGTGATCCAAAAGAAATGGGAGAAAAATGTCCTGTGAAGACCTCCGTGTTATACTGTCTTGCTTTTAGAAGCAGATCAGGGCTAGTGAGGAAGGCTTGGCTACTGTCATGAACAGGCCATGGCTGCCCCTCAGGATCCCCTGCACCTCTGGGTTGGCCTCCGGTGTCAGGAACAAGAACTGCTAACATGCCTTCCTTAACTCACCTCCTTCAAAGAAGCATATGCAATAACAGAAACCCTCCTGACTGACTGGAAAGGTCCTCCCCCAGTGGTGAAAAACTAGCCAAGACTGTTTGAAATGGTTAATACACTTTTTAACAGGGAATGTTACGCTCACCCCATACTACTACTTGACACAATGAGACGAAAGAGGAAAAATGATTTGACAAACAATCGTATGCTGTTGTGGTCCATGTGGAACTGGAATGAGAGAGCAGAAAATGAAAATCTCTGCCCTCCTTACTATGCTTATGACTTGTAAGAATTCAAAATAATGCTCTCACTTCCTTGGTATTTTTAGTATAATTTTAAAGTATTTTAATTCTTCTTTTTTGTAGTACTTGGAACCACACGGACTACAAATGAAAGTCCATATATTGAAATTACTTTTATTCATTTAGAGCGAGGAACAGAGCCCCTGCTTCTTAGCAGCTCTGTTCAGGGCTTGTCACTAGTTCTTCAGGGAGGAAAAGGGCAAGGACACATATTTGCCGTATTTCCTTAGAGGAATCTTCACCGAGATTTCTAACTTTGTAATTAAGAATTAAATCTCAGTGAATCTTAGTGATGTACAGAAGACAGTGCTGTGTCTGTACTCTGTGGTGTGTGATTAGTTCTCTTTGGTCAAATTCTCGAAAACCCGAATAACTGGCTGCCTGCTCTGTATTTTGAGAGCAGCACAGTAGCTCAGCACTAACTGATGACATCTCTTAACTTTTAGAATGAGACCAAGCCTGTGCAGATGATGTTCAAGAAGGATAGATTTAACATGACCTATATTGGAGACTTGCAGACCAAAATCCTTGAGCTGCCCTATGTCGGTAATGAACTCAGCATGATCATCCTGCTCCCTGATGCAATCCAGGATGGATCCACGGGCTTGGAAAGAGTAAGTTGTTGAGCTGAATGCAAGGACAGCCTGTATCCTTCCAGGGAAGAAAGTCTGGTATAGCACATAGACCTCAGTTTAGTTCCAGAGCTATTCTGTCGCTGATGCTCAATGCCAGCTGAAATGTCCAACAGTTCCCTGCCCCCAGAGTGAGTAGCCCACCTGGTGTCACTGCTGCTCAAGCTGGGTGCTGCCTCCTTAGGCAGAGGCTCTGGAAGAAGATCTGACCCTCCTCAGGAGCAGTGGTCAGCTGTGGTTCTGGTGAAGGTGTGGTATGGTGAGCATCATAAGTGGAGAGGGGGAATTTGGGTGGTGTCTTAGGAAGTCCTGCGGCTTCTCCTGTAGATCTTCTATTCTGAGCAGCTGGCAGATGGTCTATGGCACAGCACCTGGCAATAGGCTCACAGGAGAGGGTAGGATCTCCTCTGTTGGAGATGGGATACAAGTTTGGAGTATTTTGTGATCTGGACAAGTTTATTAATAAGGTTTTCTGTCACTGATGGCGAAGGGCCTTATGAGCAGACTTTTTCCTTCCCTGTTGACCTGAAGGAGGAACCACTGGTTAAGAGACAGAAGATCTGAGTTCAGTTGCTTTGGGACTTGGCCAGCAGCTCCTGTGCCATTGCTTCCCCTATGTCAAAATGTAAAAAAACCCCAACAATCCTAACATGTTCTGTAAAAGTAAACATTACATGGAAGGGATTAATCCCTATTGTCCCTACCAAAAAAGCATATGGGAATGATCTTGTCTGAGGCCGTAGTCTGTAGTGAGAAGTATAACTTGCACTTTTGGCTTGAGACACTCTAAACCACTGTAAAAAAGATGCATGTTCTGTGCTAGGTAAACAAACCCAGTAATCACTTCTTTTGCTTGTGTCACACTGACTCGCTTCTCACTGTAACTAAATAAATGTGGTGTTTTTCTTTAGCTGGAAAGAGAACTTACATATGAGAAGCTGATAGATTGGATCAATCCTGAAATGATGGACTCTACAGAGGTGAGGGTGTCTTTACCCAGATTTAAGCTGGAAGAAAATTATGATCTGAAACCCATTCTGAGCTGCATGGGAATGCCTGATGCATTTGACTTGGGGAAGGCAGACTTCTCGGGAATGTCATCTGGCAATGAGCTGGTGCTCTCTGAAGTGGTTCACAAGTCCTTTGTGGAAGTCAACGAAGAAGGCACTGAAGCAGCTGCTGCCACAGCTGCAATAATGATGATGCGCTGTGCAATGATCGTTCCAGATTTCACTGCTGATCATCCCTTCCTCTTCTTCATCCGGCACAACAAATCTTCCAGCATTTTGTTCTGTGGCAGGTTTTGCTCTCCCTGAAGATGAGTTGTCTTGGCAGGATAGGGGCCATTACACAATAAAGATTTCTCTAGAAAAGGGTGACTCCTTTTGCACTAATTGCCTCTTTGAGCTGTGCCTGAACCCTCTTCTGTGGTCTTGATCTGGGGCTTGGCAAGAATAACAGAGCTGCTTGGAGCTCCACAGCAAGTGCCATGTAAAACACCTCTCTCTCTGTGCACCTGTGTGGAGGTTCTTGCTGACAGAAGTAACATCCCACTTGCTCAGCCAAGGCATCTCCTGTCCTTGACTTGACTTTTAGTGTCCATGAGGCCGACTTGACTTTTAGTGTCCATGAGGCCGAGTCGGGCACTGACAGCGCGTGAGAGAGCAGAAGTTACTTTTGCTTCTGACAAGGCTGGAGCACCTTTTTAGCTGCACTCCCCTTTCTTCTTCCAGTCTCATCCATTTAGTGCCTTGATCCATTCCCTAGAGCTGAAAGGAGTCTTTGGCAGCCTGTTCCAGGTGTTCCTGAGCACCCTGCCTAGATGTTTGGTTTTTTTTGTCTACTAACTGGACAAGGACTTGGGCAGGAATGGGAATGAAAGTATGTTTTTGTCCCAGATGTCCTTATGGGGTGTTTGTGAGGTGAGAACCTTTGTTTCATCACCACAGGACTCCTGGGTTTACCTGTCTCCTGGTTCTACTCCTTTAACAAAGAATGTAACAAAAGAGCATATGGTGCCTCTGCAATATTTGAATGACAAAGCTTTAACGTTTTTGCTATCGTTATATATTTGTCCTATTCATAGTTTGTTAAACATCATAGCTGAACCGTATAATGCCAAAGCCACAGCTGAAACACCTTTCTTGACACAGGGCTGTGTTTGTGTTTTGGAGTTCCTGTTCCTGAAATAATAAAAAACCACGAGCGCTGTGGGACTCCGTTCCTTTTTTTCAACCCTAACTCATACATACGTTTTTAAATCTGTCGTAGGAAGAGAACGATTCTCGACAGAGCACCCCTGGGTTCTGTGTGGCTGCCCTGCCCCGCCCCTGGGTCCCCGCCCCACCCGGGCGGTGTGTCCGCGGTTGTCGCCGCTCCCGCCGGCCGGGCAGGGCTGCGGGCAAGTGAGCTCGGCTGCGCCGGGGCTCCGCAGCCTTCCGCAGGTCTCCGCCCCTACCCCCGCCCCGGGGCGTCCTCGGGCAACGGGGCGGTAACGGGAAGAAATGCGGCAAAGTTTCGTCTTCGCGCAAAATCGGGGCTGTTCTCGGGCAGGGTGGGGTGGGGGCCGTCAGCTGGCTGGTTTGGGTGAAAGGCTTGCTCGGCTGCTGTAAGGAAATCAAAGTGCGCTTTCGGGTATTGGTTTGGCTTTGGGGGCGGGAAGGTGGCGGTGGTTTTTCTTTGCTAGAAGAGGATTGCAAAGCTGCCGGGGGTTTATCCCTCTGTCGGAGGGAGCCGGCGATGATATTTTGCAATTGCTGTAGGAAGACTGTCCTGGAAATCCCCACGTTCTGGTGCAAACGCCTCCACGTAGGAGTCTGAAACGGTCTTAAGGGATACAGGCAAATTGGACAGTTGTGCTGTAAGAAGCAGGGGGAAAGGTGCGGGAGTGAGATGTGTGGGGTGTGCTGGGCCTGGGAAGCTGAACGACTTTAACCTGCAGACCTGCCAATACACATGCTTCCAATTTCAAGTTAGAAGGCAAGGAATTCTTTTAAATAGTGCCATTAACTGAGTCTGATAAGTAGGATTGGGATATGTAGTTTATGTGGGGAAAAAAATATGGTATTTCAATGTGACTGGGGTGGTTTTTTGCTTGGTTTTGTAAGAGAATGTTCCAGTGACAATGTTTTTTATCCTGTAGGAAAAGTCATTCTGCTGACTTCTCCCAGCCCAGCTGTTTAAAACACAGCGTGCACACGTAGGAGTAAGCTGAAGGTACAGCTGAAGATCTGCAGACTTAGAGAAGGTAAGAGTTTGTAATTGTCTAGCTTTTTGGTCTGTTGTTTGTATAAAGGCAAATTATTTTCTTTGTGAGGTCAAGAGAGCTTTCTTTCAGTGGGTTCTGAACAGAATCCTGTTGTGCCTGATCATCTCAAAAGATGTAATATTACGTAGGTATGGGATTGAAAAACAAAAGCAGACAGTAAATCCCTAAAATAACTCAAGAGAGTTGTATGGGGTTTTAAGGTGCTTGTGCCACCAAATCAGTTTTCCATTCAGGCGATAGTTTTCCAGCCGAATGCTGACATTTGCTGGCCAGTTTATGCTGGGAAATGTGAAAGAGAGAAACAGTTTTTTTGTGTTCAAATAAATTTGATCCATTCTTGTTCTGTGTTTTACCTGCCAGGTTTGAAACCATGGCAAGCCTGTGTGCAGCAAATACCACTTTTGCCCTGGACCTCTTAAGACAGCTGTGTGAGAGGAAAAGTGGTCAGAATCTATTCTTTTCCCCTTTTAGTATTTCTTCTGCTTTGTCTATGGTTTTGCTGGGTTCAAAAGGTAACACCGAAGCCCAGATAACAAAGGTAGGTGACAATAGACTTCTTGGATTGAATTTGATCAACAAATGTGTCTTACAGTCTGTGATGTGCACTTCTGCTAAACTGGGGTTGTCATCGTGGTCTGAGAGAGCAGAGATCTTCCTTTGGGAGGGTGTGTGTGTGTGTGTAAGGACAACCTGTTTTCATTGCTTTTATAGGGGAGTCTTTGTTTAGTAGAAATTTCAACGTTTCAAGGTTTTGTTGTGGGTGGGTTTTTTTGATTATTTTCACACAGATAGATCTCCTTTCCAAATTTAATTGAGAGGTATCTGGGGTTTTATTTGTTGGTTGGATAAACTAACTAGCTATGTGTAATAGTTTCTTCTGTTTTCTTGTTTGAACTTAAGATGAGATGACACATGTTTCCAAAATGAATCCAGGCACATAAAAAAAAGAAATCTATGTCAAAGTGGTAACTGCACCATGGTTTAGTTTTTAGGTTTTTTTTAAATCTAGCTCAGTTTGCAAATACTCCTTGGCATATGTTTAACATATGCAAATGACAGCATGAAATGAGCAGTCAGTCATTTGTGTTATGAAGTTTGCCCTTTTTTGCAAAGTGGAAGAGGAATATAATATCCTGTTTTGCTACCATTTAAATCTATTAAATTTACTCCAAAATCCTATCTTTTTCGTACTGTTGTTATTCCAAGTCCATCTGGACACAGTCCTGAGCTGCTGGCTGTAGATGTCCCTGCTTGGGCAGGTTGTCGTAACCCCAGTTTCTTGAGGTCCCTTCCCACCTCAGGCATTCTGTGATCCTCCAGTGCTTGGCTTGATGGAAGGAAAATCTTTTGGGTTCAAGTCACAGTGTTTAACGTAGAAGTCCTTTAAAACTCAAAGTCATTGTGCTGAAGCAGGTGTGTTTTGAGAATGCATATCGAGGATGTGTTTGTGCAGGTGCTTTCTCTGACCAAAGCTGAGGATGCTCACAATGGGTATCAATCCCTTCTCTCTGAAATTAACGATCCAAACACCAAATACATCCTGAGAACTGCAAACCGGCTTTATGGGGAAAAGACGTTTGAGTTTCTCCCAGTAAGTAACCATGAAATGTGTGGCGTTTCTTAGTATAATGTACTTTTTACCTGTTTGGTTTGGAGGTCAAAGGCAGGCTTTGGGCTCTGCTTTCCAAATTTTCTGAGCTGAGGACTAGCAATGCAGTAGACGATGCCAGAGCCTGGTATCTGAATTTGGTGGAGAATCCCCTTTCAGATACCTGAGAGTTGCAAAGTAGGGTAAAATCCATCAGTCTCTCCACCTCTAGGGTTCTGTGATCCACTAACACTTTTGGCTGTGGGACACATGTTTGATGTATTTCTTTTCCCTTCATTGTGTGGAGATATGACCAAAAAAAAGAATTGTTACTGCTCTTCAGCATGGGCAGTATTTTATAGTTTTTGTCTCCTAGGTAAGTGATCCAGATAGCATTGTGAGAACAATAGAGGACTTTTAAGATTTTCCTTATCAGAAGATCTAAATAAGGATAATAGATACTGTGTTACACATGTTTCTTTCAATGCTTCCCTAGGTGCAAGAACTTGTAAGGCTCTATTTTTTTTCCTCTGGGTGTCGTTTCCAGTGTTTCTTTTATGAAGAGTGCTATTGTTTCATTTGTCTAGTAGATAAAAAGTACCCGGACTCTAGTCTCAAACATTGCCTCTGGGTAATAAAGCTATAAGTATATTAAATCGGACAGAAGGGATGATTTATCCTGTCTATGAAAGATTAATTTCCCAACTGAACTAAAAGTTTTCCATTAGTCTGAGAAGTGTAACAATTAAATTTATGTAGAGAGTAGCTTAGAAAATCATATGTTCTCTCACTGAACCATGAAGAAAACCCCACGAAAACAGCAGCCACTTCATTTGTCAGTGAAGTTACACAGAGGTTTGTAGCACAGTAAATAAGCCATTTGACCTGAAACCATACAGGGGACAATTCCCAGTTCAAATAGTTTGTATAAATCTTATAAATGTCAGCCAGAACTTTAAGTGTTCTATGTGAAGCTGGGGGAGGAAAGTAGGCAGATTTTCTTGGTGTGTTTAAGAATCCTGCATGTCTGGATGAGAGTCAAATCTCTTGCTGGAAATCTGTTGGGCATGTCCCTGTTAGTCATTTCTAGAGTCGAGTCAGAAATCCTACCACGCTGGACTGGAACCGACTGACTTCATGAACGCTTGGGAGGATTCCAGAAAACAAATCAATGGCTGGGTAGAGGAAAGGACTGAAGGTGAGTGCTTTGCAAAGGGCCCTGTTGTATTTCCTGGTGGCCATGGCTTGGGTAAAGAGCTATTTCAGGATATGAGGTTGTGAATTAAAACAACCCAACTGTTGAGCTCCTGCTCTGTGTGGTACCTAATTCTCTTCTCTCTTGTGTCTTAAGTTCAGAGTCGATAGTCTATGGATAATAATTAGATATGTGTCCAACTCTGAAATGTTGTTTGTCTGTATCATAAAGGTAAAATTCAGAACCTGTTGGCAGAGGGGGTTCTTGATTCCCTGACCAGACTTGTGTTGGTGAATGCCATCTATTTCAAAGGCAACTGGGAAAAGCAGTTCAACAAAGAGAGAACGGCAGAAAGGCCATTTCAGATTAACAAGGTATGATGTGCTGAAATGATGGGAATATGCTGTTAATCTGAAATGAACCCATAGCATTCTGAAGAAAAAACATTCAAGCAGGGTGACCTTGGTTAGGCTGTATGAACTTCCTTATGCCCCCTCCCTTTCCTATGGATGCTGTCTTTGTTGAGTTTCTGTAAAGTTTCACGTAATTATTAGAAAGTTGAACACAAAGACAGGTGCAAAAACTTGTGGATGTAAGTCTTCTTCAGTCAATGCTTTTTTGCTGCATTTCTACCAGTGAACTGATCCAAAAGAAATGGGAGAAAAATCTCCTGTGAAGACCTCCGTGTTATACTGTCTTGCTTTTAGAAGCAGATCAGGGCTAGTGAGGAAGACTTGGCTACTGTCATGAACAGGCCATGGCTGCCCCTCAGGATCCCCTGCACCTCTGGGTTGGCCTCCGGTGTCAGGAACAAGAACTGCTAACATGCCTTCCTTAACTCACCTCCTTCAAAGAAGCATTATGCAGAACAGAAACCCTCCTGGCTGACTTGGAAGTGTCCCTCCCCCAGTGGTGAAAAATAGCCAAGACTGTTTGATATGGTTAATACCACTTTTTCAACAGGGAATGTTACTGCTCACCCCATACTACCTACTGACACAATGAGACTGAAAAGGAGGAAAATAATGATTGAAACAATAGTAGCTGTTGGTCCATGTGGAAATGGAATGAGAGAGCAGAAAATGAAAATCTCTGCCCTCCTTACTATGCTTATGACTTGTAAGAATTCAAAATAATGCTCTCACTTCCTTGGTATTTTTAATATAATTTTAAAATATTTTAATTCTTCTTTTTTGTAGTACTTGGAACCACACGGACTACAAATGAGAGTACATATATTGAAATTACTTTATTCATTTAGAGCGAGGAACAGAGCCCCTGCTTCTTAGCAGCTCTGTTCAGGGCTTGTCACTAGTTCTTCAGGGAGAAAAAGGGCAAGGACACATATTTGCCATATTTCCTTAGAGGAATCTTCACCGAGATTTCTAACTTTGTAATTAAGAATTAAATCTCAGTGAATCTTAGTGATGTACAGAAGACAGTGCTGTGTCTGTACTCTGTGGTGTGTGATTAGTTCTCTTTGGTCAAATTCTCGAAAACCCGAATAACTGGCTGCCTGCTCTGTATTTTGAGAGCAGCACAGTAGCTCAGCACTAACTGATGACATCTCTTAACTTTTAGAATGAGACCAAGCCTGTGCAGATGATGTTCAAGAAGGATAGATTTAACATGACCTATATTGGAGACTTGCAGACCAAAATCCTTGAGCTGCCCTATGTCGGTAATGAACTCAGCATGATCATCCTGCTCCCTGATGCAATCCAGGATGGATCCACGGGCTTGGAAAGAGTAAGTTGTTGAGCTGAATGCAAGGACAGCCTGTATCCTTCCAGGGAAGAAAGTCTGGTATAGCACATAGACCTCAGTTTGGTTCCAGAGCTATTCTGTCGCTGATGCTCAATGCCAGCTGAAATGTCCAACAGTTCCCTGCCCCCAGAGTGAGTAGCCCACCTGGTGTCACTGCTGCTCAAGCTGGGTGCTGCCTCCTTAGGCAGAGGCTCTGGAAGAAGATCTGACCCTCCTCAGGAGCAGTGGTCAGCTGTGGTTCTGGTGAAGGTGTGGTATGGTGAGCATCATAAGTGGAGAGGGGGAATTTGGGTGGTGTCTTAGGAAGTCCTGCGGCTTCTCCTGTAGATCTTCTATTCTGAGCAGCTGGCAGATGGTCTATGGCACAGCACCTGGCAATAGGCTCACAGGAGAGGGTAGGATCTCCTCTGTTGGAGATGGGATACAAGTTTGGAGTATTTTGTGATCGGGACAAGTTTATTAATAAGGTTTTCTGTCACTGATGGTGAAGGGCCTTATGAGCAGACTTTTTCCTTCCCTGTTGACCTGAAGGAGGAACCACTGGTTAAGAGACAGAAGATCTGAGTTCAGTTGCTTTGGGACTTGGCCAGCAGCTCCTGTGCCATTGCTTCCCCTATGTCAAAATGTAAAAAAACCCCAACAATCCTAACATGTTCTGTAAAAGTAAACATTACATGGAAGGGATTAATCCCTATTGTCCCTACCAAAAAAGTATATGGGAATGATCTTGTCTGAGGCCGTAGTCTGTAGTGAGAAGTATAACTTGCACTTTTGGCTTGAGACACTCTAAACCACTGTAAAAATGATGCATGTTCTGTGCTAGGTAAACAAACCCAGTAATCACTTCTTTTGCTTGTGTCACACTGACTCGCTTCTCACTGTAACTAAATAAATGTGGTGTTTTTCTTTAGCTGGAAAGAGAACTTACGTATGAGAAGCTGATAGATTGGATCAGTATTGAAATGATGGACTCTACAGAGGTGAGGGTGTCTTTACCCAGATTTAAGCTGGAAGAAGATTATGATCTGAAACCCATTCTGAGCTGCATGGGAATGCCTGATGCATTTGACTCGGGGAAGGCAGACTTCTCGGGAATGTCATCTGGCAATGAGCTGGTGCTCTCTGAAGTGGTTCACAAGTCCTTTGTGGAAGTCAACGAAGAAGGCACTGAAGCAGCTGCTGCCACAGCTGCAATAATGGTGAACTGCAGTGCAAAGATCGTTCCGGATTTCACTGCTGATCATCCCTTCCTCTTCTTCATCCGGCACAACAAATCTTCCAGCATTTTGTTCTGTGGCAGGTTTTGCTCTCCCTAAAGAGGAGTTGTCTTGGCAGGATAGGGGCCATTACACAATAAAGATTTCTCTAGAATAGGGTGACTCCTTTTCACTAATTGCCTCTTTGAGCTGTGCCTGAACCCTCTTCTGTGGTCTTGATCTGGGGCTTGGCAAGAATAACAGAGCTGCTTGGAGCTCCACAGCAAGTGCCATGTAAAACACCTCTCTCTCTGTGCACCTGTGTGGAGGTTCTTGCTGACAGAAGTAACATCCCACTTGCTCAGCGAAGGCTTCTCCTGTCCTTGACTTGACTTTTAGTGTCCATGAGGCCGAGTCGGGCACTGACAGCGCGTGAGAGAGCAGAAGTTACTTTTGCTTCTGACAAGGCTGGAGCACCTTTTTAGCTGCACTCCCTTTTCTTCTTCCAGTCCCATCCATTTAGTGCCTTGATCCATTCCCTAGAGCTGAAAGGAGTCTTTGGCAGCCTGTTCCAGGTGTTCCTGAGCACCCTGCCTAGATGGGGTTTTTTTGTCTACTAACTGGACAAGGACTTGGGCAGGAATGGGAATGAAAGTATGTTTTTGTAGCAGATGTCCTTATGGGGTGTTTGTGGGTTGAGAACCTTTGTTTCATCACCACAGGACTCCTGGGTTTACCTGTCTCCTGGTTCTACTCCTTTAACAAAGAATGTAACAAAAGAGCATATGGTGCCTCTGCAATATTTGAATGACAAAGCTTTAACGTTTTTGCTATCGTTATATATTTATCCTATTCATAGTTTCTTAAACATCATAGCTGAACCGTATAATGCCAAAGCCACAGCTGAAACACCTTTCTTGACACAGGGCTGTGTTTGTGTTTTGGAGTTCCTGTTCCTGAAATAATAAAAAACCCACGAGCGCTGTGGGACTCTGTTCCTTTTTTTCAACCGTAACTTATACATACGTTTTTAAATCTGTCGTAGGAAGAGAACGATTCTCGACAGAGCACCCCTGGGTTCTGTGTTGCCTCACCCGGGCGGTGTATCCGCGGTTGTCGCCGCTACCTTCTTACAGTTGTGCTGTAAGAAGCAGGGGATAGTGTGCGGGAGTGAGATGCGTGGGGTGTGCTGGGCCTGGGAAGCTGAACAGGTTTAACCTGCAGACCTGCCAATACACATGCTTCCAATTTCAAGTTAGAAGGCAAGGAATTCTTTTCAATAATGCCATTAAGTGAGTCTGATATGTAGGATTGGGAGATATAGTTTATGTGGGGAAAAAATACGGTATTTCAATGTGACTGGGGTTTTTTTTTACTTGTTTTTGTAAGAGAATATTCCAGGGACAAGTCATTCTGCTACAAGTCATGACTTGTAGGACAAGTCATTCTGCTGACTTCTCCCAGCCCAGCTGTTTAAAACACAGCGTGCTCATGTAGGAGTAAGCTGAAGGTACAGCTGAAGATCTATAGACTTAGAGAAGGTAAGAGTTTGTAATTTGGCCGTTGTGATGTCTAACTTTTTGGTCTGGTGTTTGTATAAAGGCAAATTATTTTCTTTGTGAGGTCAAGAGAGCTTTCTGTCAGTGAGTTCTGAACAAAATCCTGTTGTGCCTGATCATCTCAAAAGATGTAATATTACATAGGTATGGGATTGAAATACAAAAGCAGACAGTAAATCCCTAAAATAACTCAAGAGAGTTGTATGGGGTTTAAGGTGCTTGTGCCAACAAATCAGTTTTCCATTCAGGCGATAGTTTTCCAGCCGAATGCTGACATTTGCTGGCCAGTTTATGCTGGGAAATGTGAAAGAGAGAACCAGGTTTTTTGTGTTCAAATAAATTCGATCCATTCTTGTTCTGTGTTTTATCTGCCAGGTTTGAAACCATGGAAAGCCTGTGTGCAGCAAATACCATTTTTGCCCTGAACCTCTTAAGACAGCTGTGTGAGAGGAAAAGTGATCAGAATCTATTCTTTTCCCCTTTTAGTATTTCTTCTGCTTTGTCTATGATTTTGCTGGGTTCAAAAGGTAACACCGAAGCTCAAATAACAAAGGTAGGTGACAATCGACTTCTTGGATTGAATTTGATCAACAAATGTGTCTTATAGTCTGTGACGTGCACTTCTGGTAAACTAGGGTTGTCATCATGGTCTGAGAGAGCAGAGATCTTCCTTTGGGAGGGTGTGTGTGTGTGTAAGGACAACCTGTTTTCATTGCTTTTATAGGGGAATCTTTGTTTAGTAGAAATTTCAAGGTTTCAAGGTTTTGTTGTGGGTGGGTTTTTTTGATTTTTTTTCACACAGACAGATCTCCTTTCCAAATTTAATTGAGAGGTATCTGGGGTTTTATTTGTTGGTTGGATAAATCACTAGCTATGTGTAATAGTTTCTTCTGTTTTCCTGTTTGCACTTAAGATGAGATGACACATGTTTTCAAAATGAATCCAGGCACATAAAAAAAAGAAATCCCTGCTGTCTGCATGTCAAAGTGGTAACTGGGCCTTGGTTTAGTTTTTGGTTTTTTTTTAAATCTTGCTCAGTTTGCAAATACCCTTGGCATATGTTTAACATATGCAAATGACAGCATGAAATGAGCAGTCAATCATTTGTGTTATGATGTTTGCCCTTTTTGCAAAGTGGAAGAGGAATATAATATCCTGTTTTGCTGCCATTTAAATCTATTAAATTGACTCCAAAATCCTATCTTTTTCATATTGTTGTTATTCCAAGTCCATCTGGACACAGTCCTGAGCTGCTGGCTATAGATGTCCCTGCTTGGGCAGGTTGTCGTCTCCCCACTTTCTTGAGGTCCCTTCCCACCTCAGGCATTCTGTGATCCTCCAGTGCTTGGCTTGATGGAAGGAAAATCAGTATTGCTGAGTCTTGGGCTCCCTAATTTATTACTTTGACAACATCTGGCTGGGTGCATCTTATGTGCCTTGTATGAGAAGCTGCAGATGGGAGGTGGGATGAAAAATCTTTTGGCTTCAAGTCACAGTGTTTAACGTAGAAGTCCTTTAAAACTCAAAGTCATTGTGCTGAAGCAGGTGTGTTTTGAGAATGCATATTGAGGATGTTTGTGTTTGTGCAGGTGCTTTCTCTGAACAAAGCTGAGGATGCTCACAATGGGTATCAATCCCTTCTCTCTGAAATTAACGATCCAAACACCAAATACATCCTGAGAACTGCAAACCGGCTTTATGGGGAAAAGACGTTTGAGTTTCTCCCAGTAAGTAACCATGAAATGTGTGGCGTTTCTTAGTATAATGTACTTGCTACGTGTTTGGTTTGGAGGTCAAGGGCAGGCTTTGGGCTCTGCTTTCCAAATTTTCTGAGCTGAGGACTAGCAATGCAGTAGATGATGCCAGAGCCTGGTATCTGAATTTGGTGGAGAATCTTATCTCAGATACCCTGAATGTTGCAAAGTAGGGTAACATCCATCAGTCTCTCCACCTCTAGGGTTCTGTGATCCACTAACACTTTTGGCTGTGGGACACATGTTCGATGTATTTCTTTTTCCTTCATCGTGTGGAGATATGACCAAAAAAAAGAATTGTTACTGCTCTTCAGCGTGGGCAGTATTTTGTAGTTTTTGTCTCCTAGGTAAGTGATCCAGATAGCATTGTGAGAACAATAGAGGACTTTTAAGATTTTCCTTATCAGAAGATCTAAATAAGGATAATAGATACTGTGTTACACATGTTTCTTTCAATGCTTCCCTAGGTGCAAGAACTTGTAAGGCTCTATTTTTTTTCCTCTGGGTGTCATTTCCAGTGTTTCTTTTATGAAGAGTGCTATTGTTTCATTTGTCTAGTAGATAAAAAGTACCCAGACTCCAGGCTCAAACATTGCCTCTGTGTAATAAAGCTATAAGTATATTAAATCAGAGAGAAGGGATGATTTATCCTGTCTATGAAAGATTAATTTCTCAACTGAACTAAAAGTTTTCCATTAGTCTGGGAAGTGTAACGATTAAATTTATGTAGAGAGTAGCTTAGAAAATCATATGTTCTCTCACTGAACCATGAAGAAAACCCCACGAAAACAGCAGCCACTACATTTGTCAGTGAAGCTACACAGAGGTTTGTAACACAGTAAATAAGCCATTTGACCTGAAACCATACAGGGGACAATTCCTAGTTCAAATAGTTTGTATAAATCTTATAAATGTCAGCCAGAACTTTAAGTGTTCTATGTGAAGCTGGGGGAGGAAAGTAGGCAGATTTTCTTGGTGTGTTTAAGAATCCTGCATGTCTGAATGAGAGTCAAATCTCTTGCTGGAAATCTGTTGGGCATGTCCCTGTTAGTCATTTCTAGAGTCGAGTCAGAAATCCTACCACGCTGGACTGGAACCGACTGACTTCATGAACGCTTGGGAGGATTCCAGAAAACAAATCAATGGCTGGGTAGAGGAAAGGACTGAAGGTGAGTGCTTTGCAAAGGGCCCTGTTGTATTTCCTGGTGGCCATGGCTTGGGTAAAGAGCTATTTCAGGATATGAGGTTGTGAATTAAAACAACCCAACTGTTGAGCTCCTGCTCTGTGTGGTACCTAATTCTCTTCTCTCTTGTGTCTTAAGTTCAGAGTCGATAGTCTACTGGATAATAATAAGATATGTGTCCAACTCTGAAATGTTGTTTGTTTGTATCATAAAGGTAAAATTCAGAACCTGTTGGCGAAGGGGGTTCTTGATTCCCTGACCAGACTTGTGTTGGTGAATGCCATCTATTTCAAAGGCAACTGGGAAAAGCAGTTCAACAAAGAGAGAACTGCAGAAAGGCCATTTCAGATTAACAAGGTATGATGTGCTGAAATGATGGGAATATGCTGTTAATCTGAAATGAACCCATAGCATTCTGAAGAAAAAACATTCAAGCAGGGTGACCTTGGTTAGGCTGTATGAACTTCCTTATGCCCCCTCCCTTTCCTATGGACACTTGCTTGGTTGAGTTTCTGTGAAGTTTCCCATAATTACTAGAAAGTGTAACAGAAAGATAGGTGCAAAAACATGTGGATTTAAGTCTTCTTCAGTCAATGCTTTTTTGCTGCATTTCTACCAGTGAAGTGATCCAAAAGAAATGGGAAAAAAAATCTCCTGTGAAGACCTCCGTGTTTTACTGTCTTGCTTTTAGAAGCAGATCAGGGCTAGTGAGGAAGGCTTGGCTACTGTCATGGACAGGCCATGGCTGCCCCTCAGGATCCCCTGCACCTCTGGGTTGGCCTCCGGTGTCAGGAACAAGAACTGCTAACATGCCTTCCTTAACTCACCTCCTTCAGAGAAGCATTATGCAGAACAGAAACCCTCCCGGTTGACTTGGAAGTGTCCCTCCCCCAGTGGTGAAACATATCCCAGAATGTTTGAAATGGTTAATACCACTCTTTCAGCAGGGAATGTTACTGCTCACCCCATCCTACCTACTGCAGCCCTTCAGAGAGTGCTGGACTGACTTGGTTTTGGGGACCTTGCCCTCTCACTGTTGAAATGTGTTGAAAAAGCTGGCAGAGTATCCAGGGACACAATTCTGTTTTCTCGTCTTTGGACCAATGCAAAGCTAGGGCCAGGTTTCAAGATGCAACAGCAACAGGATGTAGTGCTGGTGAATAATCTGCCTTTGGATTTGTGATGGAATATTGTGCAGTGCTACTGCGTATCGATGGGTTTTACCTCTTGCTTTAGAAAAGGCCGCGGTGGGGCTGTACTCCGTGGTGTGTGATTAGTTCTCTTTGGTTAAATTCTCAAAAGCCCTGAGTAACTGGCTGCCTGCTCTGTATTTTGAGACCAGCACAGTAGCTCAGCACTAACTGTTGACATCTCTTAATTTTTAGAATGAGACCAAGCCTGTGCAGATGATGTTCAAGACAGACATATTTAACATGACCTATATTGGAGACTTGCAGACCAAAATCCTTGAGCTGCCCTATGTCGGTAATGAACTCAGCATGATCATCCTGCTCCCTGATGCAATCCAGGATGGATCCACGGGCTTGGAAAGAGTAAGTTGTTGAGCTGAATGCAAGGACAGCCTGTATCCTTCCAGGGAAGAAAGTCTGGTACAGCACCTAGACAGGAAAGGGTAGGATCTCTCCTGTTGTGGAGATGGAATAAAAGTTTGGGCTATTTTGTGCTCTGGCAAGGAGTTTATTAATAAGGTTTTTTAACACTGATGGTGAAGGGCCTTGTGAGCAGACTTTTTCATCATCCTGTCACCATAAGTACAAACCTTTGGTTGAGACAGAAGAACTGGGGTCCGTTTCTTGGGGACTTTGTCAGCAGTTCTCTGCCTTTGTTTCTCATATGGAAGAATGTAAAAATACCCCAACAGAACATGTTATGTACTATGTAAACAAACACGATAGTTGCTACTTTTGGCCATGTAACATTGACTTTCTTCTCATATTAATTATGAAAATTTGGGATTTTTTTTTAGCTGGAAAGAGAACTTACGTATGAGAAGCTGATAGATTGGATCAGTCCTGAAATGATGAAGTCTACAAAGGTGAGGGTGTCTTTACCCAGATTTAAGCTGGAAGAAGATTATGATCTGAAACCCATTCTGAGCCGCATGGGAATGCCTGATGCATTTGACTTGGGGAAGGCAGACTTCTCGGGAATGTCATCTGGCAATGAGCTGGTGCTCTCTGAAGTGGTTCACAAGTCCTTTGTGGAAGTCAACGAAGAAGGCACTGAAGCAGCTGCTGCCACAGCTTACCGGATCGTGGGTGGATCTCCAATGATCATTCCAGATTTCACTGCTGATCATCCCTTCCTCTTCTTCATCCGGCACAACAAGTCTTCCAGCATTTTGTTCTGTGGCAGGTTTTGCTCTCCCTAAAGAGGAGTTGTCTTGGCAGGATAGGGGCCATTACACAATAAAGATTTCTCTAGAACAGGGTGACTGCTTTTGCACTAATTGTCTTTTTGAGCTGTGCCTGAACCCTCTTCTGTGGTCTTGATCTGGGGCTTGGCAAGAATAACAGAGCTGCTTGGAGCTCCACAGCAAGTGCCATGTAAAACACCTCTCTCCCTGTGCACCTGTGTGGAGGTTCTTGCTGACAGAAGTAACATCCCACTTGCTCAGCGAAGGCTTCTCCTGTCCTTGACTTGACTTTTAGTGTCCATGAGGCCGAGTCGGGCACTGACAGCCCGTGAGAGAGCAGAAGTTACTTTTGCTTCTGACAAGGCCGGAGCACCTTTTTAGCTGCACTCCCCTTTCTTCTTCCAGTCCCATCCATTTAGTGCCTTGATCCATTCCCTAGAGCTGAAAGGAGTCTTTGGCAGCCTGTTCCAGGTGTTCCTGAGCACCCTGCCTAGATGTTTTGGGTTTTTTTGTCTACTAACTGGACAAGGACTTGGGCAGGAATGGGAATGAAAGTATGTTTTTGTAGCAGATGTCCTTATGGGGTGTTTGTGGGTTGAGAACCTTTGTTTCATCACCACAGGACTCCTGGGTTTACCTGTCTCCTGGTTCTAGTCCTTTAACAAAGAATGTAACAAAAGAGCATATGGTGCCTCTGCAATATTTGAATGACAAAGCTTTAACGTTTTTGCTATCGTTATATATTTATCCTATTCATAGTTTCTTAAACATCATAGCTGAACCGTATAATGCCAAAGCCACAGCTGAAACACCTTTCTTGACACAGGGCTGTGTTTGTGTTTTGGAGTTCCTGTTCCTGAAATAATAAAAAACCCACGAGCGCTGTGGGACTCTGTTCCTTTTTTTCAACCGTAACTTATACATACGTTTTTAAATCTGTCGTAGGAAGAGAACGATTCTCGACAGAGCACCCCTGGGTTCTGTGTGGCTGCCCTGCCCCGCCCCTGGGTCCCCGCCCCACCCGGGCGGTGTGTCCGCGGTTGTCGCCGCTCCCGCCGGCCGGGCAGGGCTGCGGGCAAGTGAGCTCGGCTGCGCCGGGGCTCCGCAGCCTTCCGCAGGTCTCCGCCCCTACCCCCGCCCCGGGGCGTCCTCGGGCAACGGGGCGGTAACGGGAAGAAATGCGGCAAAGTTTCGTCTTCGCGCAAAATCGGGGCTGTTCTCGGGCAGGGTGGGGTGGGGGCCGTCAGCTGGCTGGTTTGGGTGAAAGGCTTGCTCGGCTGCTGTAAGGAAATCAAAGTGCGCTTTCGGGTATTGGTTTGGCTTTGGGGGCGGGAAGGTGGCGGTGGTTTTTCTTTGCTAGAAGAGGATTGCAAAGCTGCCGGGGGTTTATCCCTCTGTCGGAGGGAGCCGGCGATGATATTTTGCAATTGCTGTAGGAAGACTGTCCTGGAAATCCCCACGTTCTGGTGCAAACGCCTCCACGTAGGAGTCTGAAACGGTCTTAAGGGATACAGGCAAATTGGACAGTTGTGCTGTAAGAAGCAGGGGGAAAGGTGCGGGAGTGAGATGTGTGGGGTGTGCTGGGCCTGGGAAGCTGAACGACTTTAACCTGCAGACCTGCCAATACACATGCTTCCAATTTCAAGTTAGAAGGCAAGGAATTCTTTTAAATAGTGCCATTAACTGAGTCTGATAAGTAGGATTGGGATATGTAGTTTATGTGGGGAAAAAAATATGGTATTTCAATGTGACTGGGGTGGTTTTTTGCTTGGTTTTGTAAGAGAATGTTCCAGTGACAATGTTTTTTATCCTGTAGGAAAAGTCATTCTGCTGACTTCTCCCAGCCCAGCTGTTTAAAACACAGCGTGCACACGTAGGAGTAAGCTGAAGGTACAGCTGAAGATCTGCAGACTTAGAGAAGGTAAGAGTTTGTAATTGTCTAGCTTTTTGGTCTGTTGTTTGTATAAAGGCAAATTATTTTCTTTGTGAGGTCAAGAGAGCTTTCTTTCAGTGGGTTCTGAACAGAATCCTGTTGTGCCTGATCATCTCAAAAGATGTAATATTACGTAGGTATGGGATTGAAAAACAAAAGCAGACAGTAAATCCCTAAAATAACTCAAGAGAGTTGTATGGGGTTTTAAGGTGCTTGTGCCACCAAATCAGTTTTCCATTCAGGCGATAGTTTTCCAGCCGAATGCTGACATTTGCTGGCCAGTTTATGCTGGGAAATGTGAAAGAGAGAAACAGTTTTTTTGTGTTCAAATAAATTTGATCCATTCTTGTTCTGTGTTTTACCTGCCAGGTTTGAAACCATGGCAAGCCTGTGTGCAGCAAATACCACTTTTGCCCTGGACCTCTTAAGACAGCTGTGTGAGAGGAAAAGTGGTCAGAATCTATTCTTTTCCCCTTTTAGTATTTCTTCTGCTTTGTCTATGGTTTTGCTGGGTTCAAAAGGTAACACCGAAGCCCAGATAACAAAGGTAGGTGACAATAGACTTCTTGGATTGAATTTGATCAACAAATGTGTCTTACAGTCTGTGATGTGCACTTCTGCTAAACTGGGGTTGTCATCGTGGTCTGAGAGAGCAGAGATCTTCCTTTGGGAGGGGTGTGTGTGTGTAAGGACAACCTGTTTTCATTGCTTTTATAGGGGAGTCTTTGTTTAGTAGAAATTTCAAGGTTTCAAGGTTTTGTTGTGGGTGGGTTTTTTTGATTATTTTCACACAGATAGATCTCCTTTCCAAATTTAATTGAGAGGTATCTGGGGTTTTATTTGTTGGTTGGATAAACTAACTAGCTATGTGTAATAGTTTCTTCTGTTTTCTTGTTTGAACTTAAGATGAGATGACACATGTTTCCAAAATGAATCCAGGCACATAAAAAAAAGAAATCTATGTCAAAGTGGTAACTGCACCATGGTTTAGTTTTTAGGTTTTTTTTAAATCTAGCTCAGTTTGCAAATACTCCTTGGCATATGTTTAACATATGCAAATGACAGCATGAAATGAGCAGTCAGTCATTTGTGTTATGAAGTTTGCCCTTTTTTGCAAAGTGGAAGAGGAATATAATATCCTGTTTTGCTACCATTTAAATCTATTAAATTTACTCCAAAATCCTATCTTTTTCGTACTGTTGTTATTCCAAGTCCATCTGGACACAGTCCTGAGCTGCTGGCTGTAGATGTCCCTGCTTGGGCAGGTTGTCGTAACCCCAGTTTCTTGAGGTCCCTTCCCACCTCAGGCATTCTGTGATCCTCCAGTGCTTGGCTTGATGGAAGGAAAATCTTTTGGGTTCAAGTCACAGTGTTTAACGTAGAAGTCCTTTAAAACTCAAAGTCATTGTGCTGAAGCAGGTGTGTTTTGAGAATGCATATCGAGGATGTGTTTGTGCAGGTGCTTTCTCTGACCAAAGCTGAGGATGCTCACAATGGGTATCAATCCCTTCTCTCTGAAATTAACGATCCAAACACCAAATACATCCTGAGAACTGCAAACCGGCTTTATGGGGAAAAGACGTTTGAGTTTCTCCCAGTAAGTAACCATGAAATGTGTGGCGTTTCTTAGTATAATGTACTTTTTACCTGTTTGGTTTGGAGGTCAAAGGCAGGCTTTGGGCTCTGCTTTCCAAATTTTCTGAGCTGAGGACTAGCAATGCAGTAGACGATGCCAGAGCCTGGTATCTGAATTTGGTGGAGAATCCCCTTTCAGATACCTGAGAGTTGCAAAGTAGGGTAAAATCCATCAGTCTCTCCACCTCTAGGGTTCTGTGATCCACTAACACTTTTGGCTGTGGGACACATGTTTGATGTATTTCTTTTCCCTTCATTGTGTGGAGATATGACCAAAAAAAAGAATTGTTACTGCTCTTCAGCATGGGCAGTATTTTATAGTTTTTGTCTCCTAGGTAAGTGATCCAGATAGCATTGTGAGAACAATAGAGGACTTTTAAGATTTTCCTTATCAGAAGATCTAAATAAGGATAATAGATACTGTGTTACACATGTTTCTTTCAATGCTTCCCTAGGTGCAAGAACTTGTAAGGCTCTATTTTTTTTCCTCTGGGTGTCATTTCCAGTGTTTCTTTTATGAAGAGTGCTATTGTTTCATTTGTCTAGTAGATAAAAAGTACCCGGACTCTAGTCTCAAACATTGCCTCTGGGTAATAAAGCTATAAGTATATTAAATCGGACAGAAGGGATGATTTATCCTGTCTATGAAAGATTAATTTCCCAACTGAACTAAAAGTTTTCCATTAGTCTGAGAAGTGTAACAATTAAATTTATGTAGAGAGTAGCTTAGAAAATCATATGTTCTCTCACTGAACCATGAAGAAAACCCCACGAAAACAGCAGCCACTTCATTTGTCAGTGAAGTTACACAGAGGTTTGTAGCACAGTAAATAAGCCATTTGACCTGAAACCATACAGGGGACAATTCCCAGTTCAAATAGTTTGTATAAATCTTATAAATGTCAGCCAGAACTTTAAGTGTTCTATGTGAAGCTGGGGGAGGAAAGTAGGCAGATTTTCTTGGTGTGTTTAAGAATCCTGCATGTCTGGATGAGAGTCAAATCTCTTGCTGCAAATCTGTTGGGCATGTCCCTGTTAGTCATTTCTAGAGTTGAGTCAGAAATCCTACCACGCTGGACTGGAACCGACTGACTTCATGAACGCTTGGGAGGATTCCAGAAAACAAATCAATGGCTGGGTAGAGGAAAGGACTGAAGGTGAGTGCTTTGCAAAGGGCCCTGTTGTATTTCCTGGTGGCCATGGCTTGGGTAAAGAGCTATTTCAGGATATGAGGTTGTGAATTAAAACAACCCAACTGTTGAGCTCCTGCTCTGTGTGGTACCTAATTCTCTTCTCTCTTGTGTCTTAAGTTCAGAGTCGATAGTCTATGGATAATAATTAGATATGTGTCCAACTCTGAAATGTTGTTTGTCTGTATCATAAAGGTAAAATTCAGAACCTGTTGGCAGAGGGGGTTCTTGATTCCCTGACCAGACTTGTGTTGGTGAATGCCATCTATTTCAAAGGCAACTGGGAAAAGCAGTTCAACAAAGAGAGAACGGCAGAAAGGCCATTTCAGATTAACAAGGTATGATGTGCTGAAATGATGGGAATATGCTGTTAATCTGAAATGAACCCATAGCATTCTGAAGAAAAAACATTCAAGCAGGGTGACCTTGGTTAGGCTGTATGAACTTCCTTATGCCCCCTCCCTTTCCTATGGATGCTTTCTTTGTTGAGTTTCTGTAAAGTTTCACGTAATTACTAGAAAATTGAACACAAAGACAGGTGCAAAAACTTGTGGATGTAAGTCTTCTTCAGTCAATGCTTTTTTGCTGCATTTCTACCAGTGAACTGATCCAAAAGAAATGGGAGAAAAATCTCCTGTGAAGACCTCCGTGTTATATTGTCTTGCTTTTAGAAGCAGATCAGGGCTAGTGAGGAAGGCTTGGCTACTGTCATGAACAGGCCATGGCTGCCCCTCAGGATCCCCTGCACCTCTGGGTTGGCCTCCAGTGTCAGGAACAAGACCTGCTAACATGCCTTCCTTAACTCACCTGCTTCAAAAAAACATTGTGCAAAACAGAAACCCTCCTGGCTGACTTGGAAGTGTCCCTCCCCCAGTGGTGAAACATATCCCAGAATGTTTGATATGGTTAATACCACTTTTTCAACAGGGAATGTTACTGCTCACCCCATACTACCTACTGACACAATGAGACTGAAAAGGAGGAAAATAATGATTGAAACAATAGTAGCTGTTGGTCCATGTGGAAATGGAATGAGAGAGCAGAAAATGAAAATCTCTGCCCTCCTTACTATGCTTATGACTTGTAAGAATTCAAAATAATGCTCTCACTTCCTTGGTATTTTTAATATAATTTTAAAATATTTTAATTCTTCTTTTTTGTAGTACTTGGAACCACACGGACTACAAATGAGAGTACATATATTGAAATTACTTTATTCATTTAGAGCGAGGAACAGAGCCCCTGCTTCTTAGCAGCTCTGTTCAGGGCTTGTCACTAGTTCTTCAGGGAGAAAAAGGGCAAGGACACATATTTGCCATATTTCCTTAGAGGAATCTTCACCGAGATTTCTAACTTTGTAATTAAGAATTAAATCTCAGTGAATCTTAGTGATGTACAGAAGACAGTGCTGTGTCTGTACTCTGTGGTGTGTGATTAGTTCTCTTTGGTCAAATTCTCGAAAACCCTGAGTAACTGGCTACCTGCTCTGTATTTTGAGAGCAGCACAGTAGCTCAGCACTAACTGATGACATCTCTTAACTTTTAGAATGAGACCAAGCCTGTGCAGATGATGTTCAAGAAGGATAGATTTAACATGACCTATATTGGAGACTTGCAGACCAAAATCCTTGAGCTGCCCTATGTCGGTAATGAACTCAGCATGATCATCCTGCTCCCTGATGCAATCCAGGATGGATCCACGGGCTTGGAAAGAGTAAGTTGTTGAGCTGAATGCAAGGACAGCCTGTATCCTTCCAGGGAAGAAAGTCTGGTATAGCACATAGACCTCAGTTTGGTTCCAGAGCTATTCTGTCGCTGATGCTCAATGCCAGCTGAAATGTCCAACAGTTCCCTGCCCCCAGAGTGAGTAGCCCACCTGGTGTCACTGCTGCTCAAGCTGGGTGCTGCCTCCTTAGGCAGAGGCTCTGGAAGAAGATCTGACCCTCCTCAGGAGCAGTGGTCAGCTGTGGTTCTGGTGAAGGTGTGGTATGGTGAGCATCATAAGTGGAGAGGGGGAATTTGGGTGGTGTCTTAGGAAGTCCTGCGGCTTCTCCTGTAGATCTTCTATTCTGAGCAGCTGGCAGATGGTCTATGGCACAGCACCTGGCAATAGGCTCACAGGAGAGGGTAGGATCTCCTCTGTTGGAGATGGGATACAAGTTTGGAGTATTTTGTGATCGGGACAAGTTTATTAATAAGGTTTTCTGTCACTGATGGCGAAGGGCCTTATGAGCAGACTTTTTCCTTCCCTGTCGACCTGAAGGAGGAACCACTGGTTAAGAGACAGAAGAACTGAGTTCAGTTGCTTTGGGACTTGGCCAGCAGCTCCTGTGCCATTGCTTCCCCTATGTCAAAATGTAAAAAACCCTCAAGAATCCTAACATGTTCTGTAAAAGTAAACATTACATGGAAGGGATTAATCCCTATTGTCCCTACCAAAAAAGCATATGGGAATGATCTTGTCTGAGGCCGTAGTCTGTAGTGAGAAGTATAACTTGCACTTTTGGCTTGAGACACTCTAAACCACTGTAAAAAAGATGCATGTTCTGTGCTAGGTAAACAAACCCAGTAATCACTTCTTTTGCTTGTGTCACACTGACTCGCTTCTCACTGTAACTAAATAAATGTGGTGTTTTTCTTTAGCTGGAAAGAGAACTTACATATGAGAAGCTGATAGATTGGATCAGTCCTGAAATGATGAAGTCTACAAAGCTGATGGTGTCTTTACCCAGATTTAAGCTGGAAGAAGATTATGACCTGAAACCCATTCTGAGCTGCATGGGAATGCCTGATGCATTTGACTTGGGGAAGGCAGACTTCTCGGGAATGTCATCTGGCAGTGAGCTGGTGCTCTCTAAAGTGGTTCACAAGTCCTTTGTGGAAGTCAATGAAGAAGGCACTGAAGCAGCTGCTGCCACAGCGGCAAAAATAATGTTGAAGTGCCTTGAAATCGTTCCAGATTTCACTGCTGATCATCCCTTCCTCTTCTTCATCCGGCACAACAAATCTTCCAGCATTTTGTTCTGTGGCAGGTTTTGCTCTCCCTGAAGATGAGTTGTCTTGGCAGGATAGGGGCCATTACACAATAAAGATTTCTCTAGAATAGGGTGACTCCTTTTCACTAATTGCCTCTTTGAGCTGTGCCTGAACCCTCTTCCGTGGTCTTGATCTGGGGCTTGGCAAGAATAACAGAGCTGCTTAGAGATCGACAGGAAGCGCTGTGTAAAACACCTCTCTCCCTGTGCACCTGTGTGGAGGTTCTTGCTGACAGAAGTAACATCCCACTTGCTCAGCCAAGGCATCTCCTGTCCTTGACTTGACTTTTAGTGTCCATGAGGCCGAGTCGGGCACTGACAGCGCGTGAGAGAGCAGAAGTTACTTTTGCTTCTGACAAGGCTGGAGCACCTTTTTAGCTGCACTCCCCTTTCTTCTTCCAGTCTCATCCATTTAGTGCCTTGATCCATTCCCTAGAGCTGAAAGGAGTCTTTGGCACACTGTTCCAGGTGTTGCTGAGCACCCTACCTAGATGTTTTGGGTTTTTTTGTCTACTAACTGGACAAGGACTTGGGCAGGAATGGGAATGAAAGTATGTTTTTGTCCCAGATGTCCTTATGGGGTGTTTGTGGGGTGAGAACCTTTGTTTCATCACCACAGGACTCCTGGGTTTACCTGTCTCCTGGTTCTACTCCTTTAACAAAGAATGTAACAAAAGAGCATATGGTGCCTCTGCAATATTTGAATGACAAAGCTTTAACGTTTTTGCTATCGTTATATATTTATCCTATTCATAGTTTTGTAAACATCATAGCTGAACCGTATAATGCCAAAGCCACAGCTGAAACACAGGGATGTTTTTGTGTTTCTTTCTTAACACAGGGCTGTGTTTGTGTTTTGGAGTTCCTGTTCCTGAAATAATAAAAAACCCACGAGCGCTGTGGGACTCCGTTCCTTTTTTTCAACCCTAACTTATACATACGTTTTTAAATCTGTCGTAGGAAGAGAACGATTCTCGACAGAGCACCCCTGGGTTCTGTGTGGCTGCCCTGCCCCGCCCCTGGGTCCCCGCCCCACCCGGGCGGTGTGTCCGCGGTTGTCGCCGCTCCCGCCGGCCGGGCAGGGCTGCGGGCAAGTGAGCTCGGCTGCGCCGGGGCTCCGCAGCCTTCCGCAGGTCTCCGCCCCTACCCCCGCCCCGGGGCGTCCTCGGGCAACGGGGCGGTAACGGGAAGAAATGCGGCAAAGTTTCGTCTTCGCGCAAAATCGGGGCTGTTCTCGGGCAGGGGGGGGTGGGGGCCGTCAGCTGGCTGGTTTGGGTGAAAGGCTTGCTCGGCTGCTGTAAGGAAATCAAAGTGCGCTTTCGGGTATTGGTTTGGCTTTGGGGGCGGGAAGGTGGCGGTGGTTTTTCTTTGCTAGAAGAGGATTGCAAAGCTGCCGGGGGTTTATCCCTCTGTCGGAGGGAGCCGGCGATGATATTTTGCAATTGCTGTAGGAAGACTGTCCTGGAAATCCCCACGTTCTGGTGCAAACGCCTCCACGTAGGAGTTTGAAATGGTCTGAAAGGATGCAGCCAAATTGGAGAGTTGTGCTGTAAGAAGCAGGGGGAAAGGTGCGGGAGTGAGATGTGTGGGGTGTGCTGGGCCTGGGAAGCTGAACGACTTTAACCTGCAGACCTGCCAATACACATGCTTCCAATTTCAAGTTAGAAGGCAAGGAATTCTTTTAAATAGTGCCATTGAGTCTGATAAGTAGGACTGGGATATGTAGTTTATGTGGGGAAAAAATACGGTATTTCAATGTGACTGGGGTGTTTTTTTGCTTGTTTTTGTAAGAGAATGTTCCAGTGACAATGTTTTTGTTTCTTATAGGACAAGTCATTCTGCTGACTTCTCCCAGCCCAGCTGTTTAAAACACAGCGTGCACACGCAGGAGTAAGCTGAAGGTACAGCTGAAGATCTGTAGACTTAGAGAAGGTAAGAGTTTGTAATTTGGCCGTTGTGATGTCTAACTTTTTGGTCTGGTGTTTGTATAAAGGCAAATTATTTTCTTTGTGAGGTCAAGAGAGCTTTCTTTCAGTGAGTTCTGAACAGAATCCTGTTGTGCCTGATCATCTCAAAAGATGTAATATTACGTAGGTATGGGATTGAAAAACAAAAGCAGACAGTAAATCCCTAAAATAACTCAAGAGAGTTGTATGGGGTTTAAGGTGCTTGTGCCACCAAGTCAGTTTTCCATTCAGGCGATAGTTTTCCAGCCGAATGCTGACATTTGCTGGCCAGTTTATGCTGGGAAACGTGAAAGAGAGAACCAGTTTTTTTGTGTTCAAATAAATTCGATCCATTCTTGTTCTGTGTTTTATCTGCCAGATTTGAAACCATGGCAAGCCTGTGTGCAGCAAATACCACTTTTGCCCTGGACCTCTTAAGAAAGCTGTGTGAGAAGAAAAGTGGTCAGAATCTATTCTTTTCCCCTTTTAGTATTTCTTCTGCTTTGTTTATGATTTTGCTGGGTTCAAAAGGTAACACCGAAGCCCAGATAACAAAGGTAGGTGACAATAGACTTCTTGGATTGAATTTGATCAACAAATGTGTCTTACAGTCTGTGATGTGCACTTCTGCTAAACTGGGGTTGTCATCGTGGCCTGAGAGAGCAGAGATCTTCCTTTGGGAGGGGGTGTGTGTGTGTGTAAGGACAACCTGTTTTCATTGCTTTTATAGGGGAATCTTTGTTTAGTAGAAATTTCAAGATTTCAAGGTTTTGTTGTGGGTGGGTTTTTTTGATTATTTTCACACAGATAGATCTCCTTTCCAAATTTAATTGAGAGGTATCTGGAGTTTTATTTGTTGGCTGGATAAACCAATTAGCTATGTGTAATAATTTCTTCTGTTTTCTTGTTTGCACTTAAGATGAGATGACACATGTTTTCAAAATGAATCCAGGCACATAAAAAAAAGAAATCCCTGCTGTCTGCATGTCAAAGTGGTAACTGCACCTTGGTTTAGTTTTTAGTTTTTTTTTTAAATCTAGCTCAGTTTGCAAATACTCCTTGGCATATGTTTAACATATGCAAATGACAGCATGAAATGAACAGTCAGTCATTTGTGTTATGATGTTTGCCCTTTTTGCAAAGTGGAAGAGGAATATAATATCCTGTTTTGCTACCATTTAAATCTATTAAATTGACTCCAAAATCCTATCTTTTTCGTACTGTTGTTATTCCAAGTCCATCTGGACACAGTCCTGAGCTGCTGGCTGTAGATGTCCCTGCTTGGGCAGGTTGTCGTAACCCCAGTTTCTTGAGGTCCCTTCCCACCTCAGGCATTCTGTGATCCTCCAGTGCTTGGCTTGATGGAAGGAAAATCAGTATTGCTTGAGTCGTGGGCTCCCTAATTTATTACTTTGACCACATCTGGCTGGGTCATCTCATGTGCCTTTATGAGAAGCTGCAGATGGGGGTGGTGGGATTGAAAAATCTTTGCGCTTCAAGTCACAGGTGTTTAACGTAACAGAAGTCCTTTAAACTCAAAAGTCATGTCTGACAGGTGTTGTTTCGGGCATGCATATTGAGTATGTTTGTGTTTGTGCCAGGTTTGCTTTCTCTGAACAAAGCTGAGGATGCTCACAATGGGTATCAATCCCTTCTCTCTGAAATTAACGATCCAAACACCAAATACATCCTGAGAACTGCAAACCGGCTTTATGGGGAAAAGACGTTTGAGTTTCTCCCAGTAAGTAACCATGAAATGTGTGGCGTTTCTTAGTATAATGTACTTTTTACCTGTTTGGTTTGGAGGTCAAGGGCAGGCTTTGGGCTCTGCTTTCCAAATTTTCTGAGCTGAGGACTAGCAATGCAGTAGACGATGCCAGAGCCTGGTATCTGAATTTGGTGGAGAATCCCCTTTCAGATACCCTGAATGTTGCAAAGTAGGGTAAAATCCATCAGTCTCTCCATCTCTAGGGTTCTGTGATCCACTAACACTTTTGGCTGTGGGACACATGTTTGATGTATTTCTTTTCCCTTCATTGTGTGGAGATATGACCAAAGAAAAGAATTGTTACTGCTCTTCAGCATGGGCAGTATTTTGTAGTTTTTGTCTCCTAGGTAAGTGATCCAGATAGCATTGTGAGAACAATAGAGGACTTTTAAGATTTTCCTTATCAGAAGATCTAAATAAGGATAATAGATACTGTGTTACACATGTTTCTTTCAATGCTTCCCTAGGTGCAAGAACTTGTAAGGCTCTATTTTTTTTCCTCTGGGTGTCGTTTCCAGTGTTTCTTTTATGAAGAGTGCTATTGTTTCATTTGTCTAGTAGATAAAAAGTACCCGGACTCTAGTCTCAAACATTGCCTCTGGGTAATAAAGCTATAAGTATATTAAATCGGACAGAAGGGATGATTTATCCTGTCTATGAAAGATTAATTTCCCAACTGAACTAAAAGTTTTCCATTAGTCTGAGAAGTGTAACAATTAAATTTATGTAGAGAGTAGCTTAGAAAATCATATGTTCTCTCGCTGAACCATGAAGAAAACCCCACGAAAACAGCAGCCACTTCATTTGTCAGTGAAGTTACATAGAGGTTTGTAGCACAGTAAATAAGCCATTTGACCTGAAACCATACAGGGGACAATTCCTAGTTCAAATAGTTTGTATAAATCTTATAAATGTCAGCCAGAACTTTAAGTGTTCTATGTGAAGCTGGGGGAGGAAAGTAGGCAGATTTTCTTGGTGTGTTTAAGAATCCTGCATGTCTGGATGAGAGTCAAATCTCTTGCTGGAAATCTGTTGGGCATGTCCCTGTTAGTCATTTCTAGAGTCGAGTCAGAAATCCTACCACGCTGGACTGGAACCGACTGACTTCATGAACGCTTGGGAGGATTCCAGAAAACAAATCAATGGCTGGGTAGAGGAAAGGACTGAAGGTGAGTGCTTTGCAAAGGGCCCTGTTGTATTTCCTGGTGGCCATGGCTTGGGTAAAGAGCTATTTCAGGATATGAGGTTGTGAATTAAAACAACCCAACTGTTGAGCTCCTGCTCTGTGTGGTACCTAATTCTCTTCTCTCTTGTGTCTTAAGTTCAGAGTCGATAGTCTACTGGATAATAATTAGATATGTGTCCAACTCTTAAATGTTGTTTGTTTGTATCATAAAGGTAAAATTCAGAACCTGTTGGCGGAGGGGGTTCTTGATTCCCTGACCAGACTTGTGTTGGTGAATGCCATCTATTTCAAAGGCAACTGGGAAAAGCAGTTCAACAAAGTGGGAACCGCAGAAAGGCCATTTCAGATTAACAAGGTATGATGTGCTGAAATGATGGGAATATGCTGTTAATCTGAAATGAACCCATAGCATTCTGAAGAAAAAACATTCAAGCAGGGTGACCTTGGTTAGGCTGTATGAACTTCCTTATGCCGCCTCCATTTCCTATGGACACTTGCTTGGTTGAGTTTCTGTGAAGTTTCCCATAATTACTAGAAAGTGTAACAGAAAGATAGGTGCAAAAACATGTGGATTTAAGTCTTCTTCAGTCAATGCTTTTTTGCTACATTTCTACCAGTGAACTGATACAAAAGAAATGGGAAAAAAAATGTCCTGTGAAGACCTCCGTGTTTTACTGTCTTGCTTTTAGAAGCAGGTCAGGGCTAGTGAGGAAGGCTTGGCTACTGTCATGAACAGGCCATGGCTGCCCCTCAGGATCCCCTGCACCTCTGGGTTGGCCTCCGGTGTCAGGAACAAGACCTGCTAACATGCCTTCCTTAACTCACCTGCTTCAAAGAAACATTATGCAGAACAGAAACCCTCCCGGTTGACTTGGAAGTGTCCCTCCCCCGGTGGTGAAACATATCCCAGAATGTTTGAAATGGTTAATACCACTCTTTCAACAGGGAATGTTACTGGTCACCCCATACTACCGACTGCAGCCCTTCAGAGAGTGCTGGACTGACTTGGTTTTGGGGACCTTGCCCTCTCACTGTTGAAATGTGTTGAAAAAGCTGGCAGAGTATCCAGGGACACAATTCTGTTTTCTCGTCTTTGGACCAATGCAAAGCTAGGGCCAGGTTTCAAGATGCAACAGCAACAGGATGTAGTGCTGGTGAATAATCTGCCTTTTGATTTGTGATGGAATATTGTGCAGTGCTACTGCGTATCGATGGGTTTTACCTCTTGCTTTAGAAAAGGCCGCGGTGGGGCTGTACTCCGTGGTGTGTGATTAGTTCTCTTTCGTTAAATTCTCAAAAGCCCTGAGTAACTGGCTGCCTGCTCTGTATTTTGAGAGCAGCACAGTAGCTCAGCACTAACTGTTGACATCTCTTAATTTTTAGAATGAGACCAAGCCTGTGCAGATGATGTTCAAGACAGACATATTTAACATGACCTATATTGGAGACTTGCAGACCAAAATCCTTGAGCTGCCCTATGTCGGTAATGAACTCAGCATGATCATCCTGCTCCCTGATGCAATCCAGGATGGATCCACGGGCTTGGAAAGAGTAAGTTGTTGAGCTGAATGCAAGGACAGCCTGTATCCTTCCAGGGAAGAAAGTCTGGTACAGCACCTAGACAGGAAAGGGTAGGATCTCTCCTGTTGTGGAGATGGAATAAAAGTTTGGGCTATTTTGTGCTCTGGCAAGGAGTTTATTAATAAGGTTTTTTAACACTGATGGTGAAGGGCCTTGTGAGCAGACTTTTTCATCATCCTGTCACCATAAGTACAAACCTTTGGTTGAGACAGAAGAACTGGGGTCCGTTTCTTTGGGACTTTGTCAGCAGTTCTCTGCCTTTGTTTCTCATATGTAAGAATGTAAAAATACCCCAACAAAACATGTTATGTACTATGTAAACAAACACGATAGTTGCTACTTTTGGCCTGTAACATTGACTTTCTTCTCATATTAATTATGAAAATTTGGGATTTTTTTTTAGCTGGAAAGAGAACTTACATATGAGAAGCTGATAGATTGGATCAGTCCTGAAATGATGAAGTCTACAAAGGTGAGGGTGTCTTTACCCAGATTTAAGCTGGAAGAAGATTATGATCTGAAACCCATTCTGAGCCGCATGGGAATGCCTGATGCATTTGACTTGGGGAAGGCAGACTTCTCGGGAATGTCATCTGGCAGTGAGCTGGTGCTCTCTGAAGTGGTTCACAAGTCCTTTGTGGAAGTCAACGAAGAAGGCACTGAAGCAGCTGCTGCCACAGCTTACCGGATCGTGGGTGGATCTCCAATGATCATTCCAGATTTCACTGCTGATCATCCCTTCCTCTTCTTCATCCGGCACAACAAGTCTTCCAGCATTTTGTTCTGTGGCAGGTTTTGCTCTCCCTGAAGCTGAGTTGTCTTGGCAGGATAGGGGCCATTACACAATAAAGATTTCTCTCAAACAGGGTGACTGCTTTTGCACTAATTGCCTCTTTGAGCTGTGCCTGAACCCTCTTCTGTGGTCTTGATCTGGGGCTTGGCAAGAATAACAGAGCTGCTTGGAGCTCCACAGCAAGTGCCATGGAAAACACCTCTCTCCCTGTGCACCTGTGTGGAGGTTCTTGCTGACAGAAGGAACATCCCACTTGCTCAGCGAAGGCTTCTCCTGTCCTTGACTTGACTTTTAGTGTCCATGAGGCCGAGTCGGGCACTGACAGCGCGTGAGAGAGCAGAAGTTACTTTTGCTTCTGACAAGGCTGGAGCACCTTTTTAGCTGCACTCCCTTTTCTTCTTCCAGTCCCATCCATTTAGTGCCTTGATCCATTCCCTAGAGCTGAAAGGAGTCTTTGGCAGCCTGTTCCAGGTGTTCCTGAGCACCCTGCCTAGATGGGGTTTTTTTGTCTACTAACTGGACAAGGACTTGGGCAGGAATGGGAATGAAAGTATGTTTTTGTAGCAGATGTCCTTATGGGGTGTTTGTGGGTTGAGAACCTTTGTTTCATCACCACAGGACTCCTGGGTTTACCTGTCTCCTGGTTCTACTCCTTTAACAAAGAATGTAACAAAAGAGCATATGGTGCCTCTGCAATATTTGAATGACAAAGCTTTAACGTTTTTGCTATCGTTATATATTTATCCTATTCATAGTTTCGTAAACATCATAGCTGAACGGTATAATGCCAAAGCCACAGCTGAAACACCTTTCTTGACACAGGGCTGTGTTTGTGTTTTGGAGTTCCTGTTCCTGAAATAATAAAAAACCCACGAGCGCTGTGGGACTCTGTTCTTTTTTTCAACCCTAACTCATACATACGTTTTTAAATCTGTCGTAGGAAGAGAACGATTCTCGACAGAGCACCCCTGGGTTCTGTGTGGCTGCCCTGCCCCGCCCCTGGGTCCCCGCCCCACCCGGGCGGTGTGTCCGCGGTTGTCGCCGCTCCCGCCGGCCGGGCAGGGCTGCGGGCAAGTGAGCTCGGCTGCGCCGGGGCTCCGCAGCCTTCCGCAGGTCTCCGCCCCTACCCCCGCCCCGGGGCGTCCTCGGGCAACGGGGCGGTAACGGGAAGAAATGCGGCAAAGTTTCGTCTTCGCGCGAAATCGGGGCTGTTCTCGGGCAGGGTGGGGTGGGGGCCGTCAGCTGGCTGGTTTGGGTGAAAGGCTTGCTCGGCTGCTGTAAGGAAATCAAAGTGCGCTTTCGGGTATTGGTTTGGCTTTGGGGGCGGGAAGGTGGCGGTGGTTTTTCTTTGCTAGAAGAGGATTGCAAAGCTGCCGGGGGTTTATCCCTCTGTCGGAGGGAGCCGGCAATGATATTTTGCAATTGCTGTAGGAAGACTGTCCTGGAAATCCCCACGTTCTGGTGCAAACGCCTCCACGTAGGAGTTTGAAACGGTCTGAAAGGATGCAGCCAAATTGGAGAGTTGTGCTGTAAGAAGCAGGGGGAAAGGTGGGGGAGTGAGATGTGTGGGGTGTGCTGGGCCTGGGAAGCTGAACGACTTTAACCTGCAGACCTGCCAATACACATGCTTCCAATTTCAAGTTAGAAGGCAAGGAATTCTTTTAAATAATGCCATTAAGTGAGTCTGATAAGTAGGATTGGGATATATAGTTTATGTGGGGAAAAAATATGGTATTTCAATGTGACTGGGGTGTTTTTTTGCTTGTTTTTGTAAGAGAATGTTCCAGTGACAATGTTTTTGTTTCTTATAGGACAAGTCATTCTGCTGACTTCTCCCAGCCCAGCTGTTTAAAACACAGCGTGCACACGTAGGAGTAAGCTGAAGGTACAGCTGAAGATCTATAGACTTAGAGAAGGTAAGAGTTTGTAATTTGGCCGTTGTGATGTCTAACTTTTTGGTCTGGTGTTTGTATAAAGGCAAATTATTTTCTTTGTGAGGTCAAGAGAGCTTTCTTTCAGTGAGTTGTGAACAGAATCCTGTTGTGCCTGATCATCTCAAAAGCTGTAATATTACGTAGGTATGGGATTGAAAAACAAAAGCAGGCAGTAAATCCCTAAAATAACTCAAGAGAGTTGTATGGGGTTTAAGGTGCTTGTGCCACCAAATCAGTTTTCCATTCAGGTGATAGTTTTCCAGCCGAATGCTGACATTTGCTGGCCAGTTTATGCTGGGAAATGTGAAAGAGAGAACCAGGTTTTTTGTGTTCAAATAAATTCGATCCATTCTTGTTCTGTGTTTTATCTGCCAGATTTGAAACCATGGCAAGCCTGTGTGCAGCAAATACCACTTTTGCCCTGGACCTCTTAAGAAAGCTGTGTGAGAAGAAAAGTGGTCAGAATCTATTCTTTTCCCCCTTTAGTATTTCTTCTGCTTTGTCTATGATTTTGCTGGGTTCAAAAGGTAACACCGAAGCCCAGATAACAAAGGTAGGTGACAATAGACTTCTTGGATTGAATTTGATCAACAAATGTGTCTTATAGTCTGTGACATGGACTTCTGTTAAACTGGGGTTGTCATCGTGGCCTGAGAGAGCAGAGATCTTCCTTTGGGAGGGGTGTGTGTGTGTAAGGACAACCTGTTTTCATTGCTTTTATAGGGGAATCTTTGTTTAGTAGAAATTTCAAGGTTTCAAGGTTTTGTTGTGGGTAGGGTTTTTTTGATTTTTTTTCACACAGACAGATATCCTTTCCAAATTTAATTGAGAGGTATCTGGGGTTTTATTTGTTGGTTGGATAAATCTCTAGCTATGTGTAATAGTTTCTTCTGTTTTCTTGCTTGAACTTAAGATGAGATGACACATGTTTTCAAAAGGAATCCAGGCACATAAAAAAAAGAAATCCCTGCTGTCTGCATGTCAAAGTGGTAACTGGGCCTTGGTTTAGTTTTTAGGTTTTTTTTAAATCTAGCTCAGTTTGCAAATACCCTTGGCATATGTTTAACATATGCAAATGACAGCATGAAATGAGCAGTCAATCATTTGTGTTATGATGTTTGCCCTTTTTTGCAAATCGGAAGAGGAATATAATATCCTGTTTTGCTACCATTTAAATCTATTAAATTGACTCCAAATCCTATCTTTTTCATACTGTTGTTATTCCAAGTCCATCTGGACACAGTCCTGAGCTGCTGGCTGTAGATGTCCCTGCTTGGGCAGGTTGTTGTACCCTGGTCTCTTGAGGTCCCTTCCCACCTCAGGCATTCTGTGATCCTCCAGTGCTTGGCTTGATGGAAGGAAAATCAGTATTGCTGAGTCGTGGGCTCCCTAATTTATTACTTTGACAACATCTGGCTGGGTGCATCTTATGTGCCTTGTATGAGAAGCTCCAGATGGGAGGTGGGATGAAAAATCTTTTGGCTTCAAGTCACAGTGTTTAACGTAGAAGTCCTTTAAAACTCAAAGTCATTGTGCTGAAGCAGGTGTGTTTTGAGAATGCATATTGAGGATGTTTGTGTTTGTGCAGGTGCTTTCTCTGAACAAAGCTGAGGATGCTCACAATGGGTATCAATCCCTTCTCTCTGAAATTAACGATCCAAACACCAAATACATCCTGAGAACTGCAAACCGGCTTTATGGGGAAAAGACGTTTGAGTTTCTCCCAGTAAGTAACCATGAAATGTGAGGCATTTCTTAGTATAATGTACTTGCTACGTGTTTGGTTTGGAGGTCAAAGGCAGGCTTTGGGCTCTGCTTTCCAGATTTTCTGAGCTGAGGACTAGCAATGCAGTAGACGATGCCAGAGCCTGGTATCTGAATTTGGTGGAGAATCCCCTTTCAGATACCCTGAATGTTGCAAAGTAGGGTAAAATCCATCAGTCTCTACACCTCTAGGGTTCTGTGATCCACTAACACTGCTGGCTGTGGGACACATGTTTGATGTATTTCTTTTTCCTTCATCGTGTGGAGATATGACCAAAGAAAAGAATTGTTACTGCTCTTCAGCATGGGCAGTATTTTGTAGTTTTTGTCTCCTAGGTAAGTGATCCAGATAGCATTGTGAGAACAATAGAGGACTTTTAAGATTTTCCTTATCAGAAGATCTAAATAAGGATAATAGATACTGTGTTACACATGTTTCTTTCAATGCTTCCCTAGGTGCAAGAACTTGTAAGGCTCTATTTTTTTTCCTCTGGGTGTCATTTCCAGTGTTTCTTTTATGAAGAGTGCTATTGTTTCATTTGTCTAGTAGATAAAAAGTACCCGGACTCTAGTCTCAAACATTGCCTCTGTGTAATAAAGCTATAAGTATATTAAATCGGACAGAAGGGATGATTTATCCTGTCTATGAAAGATTAATTTCTCAACTGAACTAAAAGTTTTCCATTAGTCTGGGAAGTGTAACAATTAAATTTATGTAGAGAGTAGCTTAGAAAATCATATGTTCTCTCGCTGAACCATGAAGAAAACCCCACGAAAACAGCAGCCACTTCATTTGTCAGTGAAGTTACATAGAGGTTTGTAGCACAGTAAATAAGCCATTTGACCTGAAACCATACAGGGGACAATTCCCAGTTCAAATAGTTTGTATAAATCTTATAAATGTCAGCCAGAACTTTAAGCGTTCTATGTGAAGCTGGGGGAGGAAAGTAGGCAGATTTTCTTGGTGTGTTTAAGAATCCTGTGTGTCTGAATGAGAGCCAAATCTCTTGCTGCAAATCTGTTGGGCATGTCCCTGTTAGTCATTTCTAGAGTCGAGTCAGAAATCCTACCACGCTGGACTGGAACCGACTGACTTCATGAACGCTTGGGAGGATTCCAGAAAACAAATCAATGGCTGGGTAGAGGAAAGGACTGAAGGTGAGTGCTTTGCAAAGGGCCCTGTTGTATTTCCTGGTGGCCATGGCTTGGGTAAAGAGCTATTTCAGGATATGAGGTTGTGAATTAAAACAACCCAACTGTTGAGCTCCTGCTCTGTGTGGTACCTAATTCTCTTCTCTCTTGTGTCTTAAGTGCAGAGTCGATACTCTACTGGATAATAATTAGATATGTGTCCAACTCTTAAATGTTTGTTTGTATCATAAAGGTAAAATTCAGAACCTGTTGGCGGAGGGGATTCTTGATTCCCTGACCAGACTTGTGTTGGTGAATGCCATCTATTTCAAAGGCAACTGGGAAAAGCAGTTCAACAAAGTGGGAACGGCAGAAAGGCCATTTCATATTAACAAGGTATGATGTGCTGAAATGATGGGAATATGCTGTTAATCTGAAATGAACCCATAGCATTCTGAAGAAAAAACATTCAAGCAGGGTGACCTTGGTTAGGCTGTATGAACTTCCTTATGCCCCCTCCCTTTCCTATGGATGCTGTCTTTGTTGAGTTTCTGTAAAGTTTCACAGAATTCCTAGAAAGTTTAATCTAACAAGTATTTCTTTCATTCTCTCTCTCTTTTTTTCCTTTAACCCTTCTTTGTTTGAGAAAGTTATCCCTCTACATAATGACAGGACTTAGAACTGATGAGGAGAGAACACTTGAGCAACGTTGTCAGGTTATTTCAGTGTCATGAACAATTTCACAGAATTAGTGAACTTGCTTATTTCAGCCTAAAACTGGAGTTGATCAGAAAAATATTTTTCTTTAGGTTTTAGGCAGAAAAGAGCACTTATACTCCTCCAGAAATTCGTATATCTAAGTCTTCTTCACTCAGTGGTTTTTTGCTGCATTTCTATCAGTGAAGTGATCCAAAAGAAATGGGAGAAAAATGTCCTGTGAAGACCTCCGTGTTTTACTGTCTTCCTTTTAGAGGCAGATCAGGGCTAGTGAGGAAGGCTTGGCTACTGTCATGGACAGGCCATGGCTGCCCCTCAGGATCCCCTGCACCTC